CCCTTCTCAACCACATCTAGACATTAGCAGACATCTTCTGCAGATGTGTTTTAATCCTCTGCTTTATAATAACATTCTTTCTCCTTTAAACTGAACTATACCTAGCACGTTAACTCATTAAAATGTTAAACAGCAGGATTGACATCCAGCTTAGTTTTAGTCTTCAGGATGAAAAATTATTATTTTAAGTCACATTTCTGTCATTACTATACATGATAGTTTTAGTCCAGCTTTAGCCGACTAAAATGCAAAAAGGTTTTAGAGTAGTTTTAGTCAGTTTTGTGTTGTTTGAATAACAGAAAAGGGTTTGTCTGACATTCAAGCACTGATTCCAGTATCTTTGCAGTGTGTGATCTACAAATTTGATATCTGTAACGACGGTACTGTTGCTGAATTTCCTAAAAAATGCACTAAGTACAAAGAACAGTAGTGAGAAGTTTGGTATCCATTTTTCACCTGCTTGTGAGACAACTGTCACGGTTATTTGGCGATAGCCAGAGAAGGCTAGACCTGTTTGAATCTATAGCTGAACTCTTCCAGCCCCCTTGTTTTAAGTCCAGCCAGAACAAGGGGAGGACACAGCCACTGAAATCAAACACACCCAGTTTGTCAGAGTTGAGCTCGCGGTACCTGACCGTTCTGGCTTACTTTTGCCACTGCTAGTCCATCTGTGATCATGCAGAATGGGCACCGCTGCACGCCAGGTCGTTAGCATGACCAAGCAGAATGCAACAGCATGGCTGGTACTATTTAGCCTTTTGACTAAGAGATTACAGCACAATGATGCATTCTAAACGTGTGGCAGACCACACACTAACATCTTAGGCCAGTCTCATCACATAGAATAAACCCCACACCCACGACTCATCATGTTTACGTCATCAAAACTCAATGTTTAGCTCATCAGTTCTTGTTATCGTCATGAAAAAAAAGGAACGTCAATGAATTAAATAAAACAATAATGTTACACAGGCACTCATTTTCTTTTTTTAGTTTGGATCATTTATCAATTCATTCTCCTTATGGGTCACCAACTTTTAATCTCAATTTAAAGTATTGGAATTAAATCCTATTTCTATTCCCTGCAACAGTTGTGCACTGGTTAGCGACAAAGAAGAAATAAGTTTAAAAGACCAAAAAAATGCTCAACTAATTAGCTGCCTTCTAATTTCTAAATAACACATTAGACTCAAAAGGAATTAGACAAGATAAAAAAAGAATAAATTTGGATATCGGAAGGTTGTCATTGTCAGTAAAACGCAGGTAAAGGAAGAGAATTGGTGCGAACAATTTCATCCTTTTTTAAATTTTGGGTGCTTGACTCCTAATACCAAATAATCTGGATAACCAGCATTCAGTAGTCTCTATTTAATTTAATAGGGGCCACAGAATACATGCTGGCTACAAGCGGTCATTAGCTCAACTGTTCTGGTCTTAAATAGGTGGCTGATTTTAGCCGGCTAATCCAAAAGATAAATGTAAACAATATGAGGAACATTGTAAAAATAATGTTAAAGAATCTGGAGGAAGATTTTTTCTTCCCTTTCACCGTTTTGCATTTTTGCAGTTTTTGATATTCTCAAACTTCATTTTGGTGTGGTTCCATCCCAGCTGACATCAGGAAACGTAATTATTACACATGCGTTTTTTTTGAAAGGTCACATGTTTTAAAAGGCCTAAAAGGGATCTAAACAAGTTTCTATGGAAATATGGTTAATTCAGTCATTGAAATTATGGTTCAGTTTAAATTAGATATTCATGAAGATCCCTGTATTGTTTTATTACTTAGAAAGATAACCGTATTTATTTATAACAAAAAAGAAGGTTAGAATTAAAGTGGCAAATTGATTTAGTCTATGTTCCGCTATCCTTTTTATGTTGTCAGGACATAAACTGTCTTCTGAACATAGCAAGCTTTAATGGGGGTTGGCAAAAACATTTGTTGCTTATACAAAATATTTAGTATTGTCCACATCAATCTGTTTTCCAAGACTTTTCTTTGAAGCACTTTAAGATGTTAGTTCAGGCAGAACAAAAAATGTGACGGTCATCTTATATTCAGATTCTTACGTCAGCTGACTCCTAAAGATTGTTATTGAGCGTGGTCCAATCATCCTAAGCATGTGTGGGGGCCGTGGAAGCACGGAGGAAAGTGAAAGATATGAAGACACTCACCCTGCCTGCATGTCTGTTTGTGAGCTGTGGGGGAAAGAAGGGGTGAGAGGAATAAACAGTAATGTAGATGTAAATATTTAGAGATATTCTCACTGTCAGGCAAACAGCTCAGTTTTGAAAGATGACCAGCGATGCCCTCGTCAGTGCTCTCCCACATACATCCCTTATGCATCCTCTGCCTCTAATTCCTCACCTCCAAGAGTGAGCGGGACACTTTGGTGAATAAACAGTGCAACCAATTTATTCACTGGAGTCTATATCACAGTTATGGCTTAATAATAGTTTTATTTTCTTTTTCTTCACATTTTTTGTTCAAAATATGGACATATAACGTTTAATAGACAAAAAATTGAAAAAAAGCATACTTTAGTGAAGAAAACATAACATACACATATCAATAAATTAGACTCTTGGTTGTTTTGATATTTAAACATACAAATACATTTTTGGTATGCCGCCAGTGTAAACAGCTGCATAGGTTAGAATAAAGGCTCATGGGGCCAAATCAATTCGGTCCGTTATCTTATTTGGACTGGGGATGCAAGATAAGAAGATGATAGATTGGACAAAAATGCGGCTGAGATGCATTACAAGTCAGCAACGTTAAATAAAGGTTTAAACCTTTGGGAGCTGGGTGTATTTTGGAAGTGATGTGCTAATCTATTTATTACATGCCTGTATATGGGAAACTTACATGAAACACTGATAGTTGTCCTAAAGGAAATGCTTTACTTAATTTGTAAACTCTTGGAAATAAACATTAGGTGTTATTAGCGGTTGCTTATGGGTGGAACAACAGGATGCACATCAGATCGTGAAGAATAATGTATAAAATTGCAAAACTGATTCAAAACAAACTATTAAAAATTTTGAGATAAGGCCCTAACTATAGTGAAATATATTTAATAGCTGTTTGAGTATATAAGCAATGATTTGTGTTTTATGCTGTTGCTTTCCTAAAGGGACACCAACAGTACTTTAGGATCTGACTTTTTACTTTTATCCAAGAAACCAGCTTTTAATGCAGGTTTCTTGTTTTCAAAAGACTTAAAGGCTTAGTTTGATCTCTTTGTTGTGTTTACGTCACTTTGCTCATAGAAACTCTGCGAAAAGCAACCATGGCCAATCACTACATAAAAATGTCCATTTGCGTTTAGCCTCATGATGCGTGAGTCATGTTCTGGGGAACCAGCAAAGAACAGATGAGCAGTGCAGTGGTAGATAATGTTCTCATGACATCACCCTGGTGCTGATAAATGGGGTATCACAGTGTCTGTATTTAAACAATTTATGTGAGAAGGGGAGAGCCCCACAGCGGGGATTATTTCCATGATAATATTTAAACAGAGCTGCCCTTTACTCCACATCAGGGCTGTTTTTCTCAGTCAGATGCACCTTCATGTCCTTATGGCTCAAAACTACGTCTGTCATGATAGTATATGCGTTTTTGTATGCATAACATATGGGGCTACAATGTTGTTTTTGTTTCATGCAATATTTATTGTAGAGTATACTGTAAGTGAAAGCTCGATTATATTCTCATCTTATCTTTGTTTGTCCCCCTCAGGCAGTCGTGAAGCAGCTTTTGTCTACGCCATCTCCTCAGCAGGAGTTGTGTACGCGCTGACTCGTGCCTGCAGCCAGGGGGAACTGAAGTCGTGTAACTGCGACCCTCAAAAACGAGGACGTGCTCATGATGAAAAAGGTGAATTTGACTGGGGTGGCTGCAGCGATAACGTCAACTATGGAATAAAATTTGCCAAAGACTTCATTGATTCCAAAGAGAGAACTGTCAGGGACGCTCGGGCACTCATGAACCTTCACAACAACCGCTGCGGCAGAACAGTAAGTGGATCATCTTGCTGTAATTAGAGGGGTACAGTTGCAAAGGATGTGATGTGTTAGTTAAAAAACACAAATGAATGAGCAAATAAACAGACTTTTGTGAACTGCTTTTACTTTGAGACAAAGCTCATATACATGTTATAGCCAACTTATTTCTTAAGGTTACCCAGCTATGACAATACTATGATGCCTATTATGCAGTGTATTTTTTCAGAGACAACTTTGAGACAGCAATGACAAATTCGTCTAGGTAAAAAAATAAATAAAAAACATACATTTGTTTAAGGTTTTAAAATAAACATTTCTCTTTACCCATATTAACATGGTACTTCTTTTAAAATTACATTACAAGAACTAAGACATCTTCTACACTTTTGATCACTTTACCCAAATTGAATTTGATGTTTTCCTTCTTTTTTTTTTTTTTTAGCTAGTGTATGTTCAGTATTGATATCTGTCTTTTTTCTTTGAACATCTGTAATTCTTAAGTGCACACTGGAAACACTGATCTGTGTTCTAAATATAAAGCTTAGTTTCTATATTCCTCTTATTTACAAACTGCAAGCAGAGGAAGATTTGTTCCTAAAATAGCTCTACCACTTGTCTCTGTCATCAGTTTTAATAATCAGTCATATTTAAATAAGGCATTGCAGTTGGATAAAGAGGAAAAAAAATCTCTTAGTTGATTTACATTTATGTAAGACCAATAGATGTAACCAACATCACTGCTCTCTGAAAAACACTGATTCTAAAAAAAATAAATTATTCTGAAGCTGTTGATGATGTTCACAGGGAATAAGAGAAATTATGAGTTACAGGAAAGTGAAGCTTGTAAGAAATCATATTTTTTTTGTTTTTTGTTGAATTCCAGTTGGGTCATAATGACAAAATAGCTGTTTCATTTCTCCCTTGTGTGTTGCACAAACAGAATACGTTTCAAACTTTGTTTAAAGGAATCTCTGTTCAGCACAAAATGTCAAATTGAATTTTCATAGGTTTTAGTATTTAAATTTTGATTATGAAGCATTAAAATAGCCACTCAGATCCCAATATTAGCTGCATGGTTTTATTTTTGGTGTAGAGAAGCATTATTATACTGTCAAATACTCCATTGTTTCATTTATAGACCAAATACCCACAATGTTTTTGATAAATGATGTTTATACCAAAAACAATGGCGTCTAAACAAAAGACTTCACTTTGATGGGGAACTTTTTTAATATTGCAAGATACTGTAGCACAGCACAGGAGATGCCTTTAGGGATTTCTGCTTCTCTATGCCATTGGAAAAAAGAGGAGATGGCGAGTGAGTGCAAAGCCTTACAACCCTTCTTTGGGTTGGGATGATTCTTTTCTGCTATACACTATACTTTAGTGGAAAAAAACAAAAACATTCCCATCACTTTATTCCAAATGGGATTTCTCTTTGAGATTGTGAGATTTCAGACAGATTTCACTAGACTCACCGCTATGTTACAGTTGCGGTTGGTCAAGTGAAATCTGCATTGGGAATGCAGTTCATATATTACACAGGTCATGTGTGCAAAACATGTCCAAAGAATTTTAGTAACTGGATTCCTAGGTGAATTTGCTCATTCTGCTTAAAAAAAGAAATACATTTGAAAGTTATTTCCTCAAATGCACCTCAATATTATTACAGGCGAGTTAGTCGTGATTTTTTCCCCCAAGATTTGAAGTCAGGGACAGGGGTTTCCCTTTAGGCAAGGCAAGGCAAGGCAAATTTATTTGTATAGCACAATTCAGTACAAAGACAATGCAAAGTGCTTTACATGATTAAAATACAGGAAGATAAAACAGAATCAAAGCAAGTAGAAAAAAAAAATAGGTTAGTTTTGTGAAAAATAAAAGCATATTGCATTACGTTTAAATCTAATGAAAATCGGCACCTTAAGACTTAAGCAGATTAAACATAAATCATTGGGAAAAAAGGCAGCATTGAAAGTAATATATGTATAATTCTGGATAATTGGTAAAACCAGGTAGTCATTGTTAATAACAATACCAATCCAAACCTCTTCGTGCAGGCAGTGAAGCGCTTCATGAACATGGAGTGTAAATGCCACGGTGTGAGTGGCTCCTGCACTCTGCGGACATGCTGGATGGCCTTGTCAGACTTCAGGAAGACCGGCGACTATCTGCGGAGGAAGTATAATGGGGCGGTTGAGGTGACGATGAATCAGGATGGGACAGGTTTTGCTGTAGCCAACAAAGCCTTCAGGAAGGCCACCAAGAACGACTTGGTGTACTTCGAGAACTCTCCGGATTATTGCCTCCAAGACAAAGCAGCAGGTAAGTGAGTATAGGGGTCGGACTAAAAGACAGAGGGGTAGTTTTTCATGGATGTTGATGGATTGCCCAGACTCCCTTATGTTTTAGGGGTGCTATTTATGTGTTTTGTGTATGCTCATGCATGACTGGTGGGTTTTGTGATCATGAATGTCAGTGTGTGTGTGTGTGTGTGTGTGTGTGTAGACGTGTGAGTGTGTAATAGTATTCAGATAACACAGCAGGCCTCCCCTGTGATGTTGGTGGAAGTTAATATCCTTGTACCCTGAGGACATGGTTGTTCTGTGGCCAACTGACCTCTGTCAGTCTGTCAATTCACACACACACACACACACACACACACACATACCCACCTCATGCTCAGGAGATGTTTCGATCCCTCTTCAAACAATCTACCTGATCAGGTATAAAAGTCTGGATGATAGATAAAAAAACACTGTAAACTTCTTTGCATTTAGCTGACATCACTCTGCAGAGCTTTTCCCTGCACTCTGTCATTTTGTCTGCCTGTCCGTCCGTCCCCTCACCCAACCTTCTCTCTGTCATTCTCACCTTCTCAGTGGAATCCACAGCCTAGGGACACAAGCAGCTAATTTAGAAAAAAAAAAAGTCACTTCTCTGTGTCTGTCACAGTCTTTCTCTCTCTCTGTCTGTCTGAGCTAAGCGTAGCTGGAGGGCAGAGTGGGCCTCAGAGTGTGAGAGCCTGTCTGTCTGTCACGCTCCACTGTCCATTTAACCCTCACGCACACACACAGAGGTGCTTCAAAGGGAGCAGTGGCTTGGGAAAGGCAGTGTAACTACGGGCCGCTCTACCAACACCACATAGTTGTGTGTGTGGGTCTGTTGTTCTACGGGCTGCTTGTTGTGATAGGTAGCAGTTCAAAAAGGGAGCTTCTCACACCAAACATGAACACTAATCTCTGTGGGGATGACATTCACACAAGACTTGGACAATATACCGCTGCATTGGGTGGTAGCCAGACTGCCTAGCCTTACACGGCATTCATCACCATTGACGGGCGTTTTAAATTGATTTGGCATCATAACCACACATACTGAAACTCAAAGCACCTTAAGTACGTTGCACTCAGTTCACCAGAAACAGTAAAAGTTTCAGCAACAATGTGTGACTTTTACTGCAAAAGCGGAACTAAAAAGAAATAAAGATACCTTAAAATAAATGTTTGCCCTTAATTTGAGTAGATAAATTAGAACATCTGCCGATGAAATGGGTATTTTTACCCTTAAAATAAGATATTTACGGTAGATATTATTCACTTAAAATAAGATAATGGAGAAATTCAAATAAGTTTCTCACATAAATGCGATTCAACATATTCCATTCCATTTCTTTATTATATTTTTTACTAAACCAAACCTTCCACATGCC